GGCTTCTCAGAGATGCCAGGTTTTGCTACAATGTGATTATTTGTGTACCTGATGCGCCTGTTGCATTCACTTCTGCAGTGCCTTTACCTGTGCTTCCTGCTGCCTGCTCCTGGCTCTGCCTTTGTCTCTGGTCCTGCAATGCCAGTTGCCATTGTCAGAACCTCACTTGCTCCTGCCTCTACTTTCACATCAGACCCTCCTGCATCTTACCAGGTTCCTTATCTCTCTCCACGGCCTCTGATTCTAGTATTCTAGTGGAGGATGCCTGTTGCTTGGGCGGTAGAGAGGCTACAGTTGCAGCCAACAGGAATAAGATACACTGTTTGGTTTCAGAAGTGCCTGATTGTTGTTACAGAAAGTAGAAGATTGCCTTTAAGAATCAAACCTATGCTTTAAACAATTTAAACAAAAAATTCTGTTCTATTTGCAAACATAGTTATAAGAGTACTTGATGTCACTAATAAAAATGGAACTGAAGTGGAGAGCATGATGCTAAAGGGCGGCCTTTAAACAAATTTAATAAATAAATACATAAGTAGAGAAGTTGTACAAAGATGCAACATCTACGTTTTAGTATGATTTGCATGTGTTAGAAAACTTTGAATACTGATAAAATAATAAACAAGTCTTAAAACAACCCTCCCATCACAGTTGTCCCTACTGTGGACATGATCAAGCTAAAATTCAGCATATTTGAACTCTCCTGGGTTCCTCCTAAAATCAGGGAGATACAGAAGCACATGCTTTCCTTTGGCTTGATCACTCCCTTTGTATTCCCTCTGAATCATCAGTGGCATATCAACCCCACAGGATGATGGGAGGTCATTTGCTTGAATTCTGGAAAGATAAAATAATATCTTACAATATTTTGCTATGCTATATATAAAAATATAATTGAGAGTGCAAATCTTTAAGTGAGAATATAAATTATGCAGACCTGAATAGTTTAGATACAGCTATAGTAGTATGAATATGAGTGCCAAATCTGTAGAATATTAAAAGATATGGAGAGAAAAAAGATAAATGGAACTAATTTATTTTAAATTTACACTTATGCCTCTGCTTGCATTAATAAAGTTGTATCCAAAATCTAAAGGAAAGTCTGAAATCTTAGAAGTTCTCTCAACAGCATCAGCAAATCATTCTTGTTTACCCTACATGCTAATAAAACAGGAGGCATGACACTCCTGAAAACAAGATTGCAAAATACAGAAAATGTGGTCTGACATTTTTTTCTCCCCAAAGGAGGGACTGCCGCTAACGAAAGTATTTCTTGTGAAGGCTCGATTGCTTAAGATGCAGAATATTAAGAGAGAAAAACACTTTAGGACACAGCCATGTCACCAGCTGTTACTCATTCCTAATGAAATTGTTAAGTGATATTCCTCATAAATAGGTCAGCAAAACTTTTGAATCACAGAGACTGTTTTATCTGCTTTCTCTGTGAAACGGTATTAAATTTAGAATGGGTAATTCATTAAGCTCATTAGCTATCACAGGGAGAGAAGAGCACTTTCTAAGATGTAGGTTTCAGGGCTCAAATGTTAGTGGTTCCAAATAAACATGAAAGCAGCATGCGCCATAAAATATGGGATCATAATATTTTAAAGTATATTTTGAGGGGGGCCCTCTGGATTAATTAGAAACATTTTGTAGAGTCCGACATTTACATATAAACAGCATATATTATGGCTTCTTTTTAACAGTACTTTACTAGGGAAGAAGACAGGAAGTCTAGTTAACGATCAGTCAAAATTTACTGATTATTTCTGTTTGGGATTAGGATAAGAAATTTTTCAGTCTCATGTTTCAGTCTCAGGTAGGAAATTACATCCTCCTATAAACAATGAAGCATGATTAAAATCTATCAAGAACATGCAGTTTATTTTTGTTGCCTAAGTAAAATGTTAAGTGTGTTGCAGCACCCACCCACCAAGCAAGTCACTGCCTAGATAGGAGCCTGGAAAGGGCTGACCTAGTCCACCACAACCTGTCCTTGGAACCCATGCCTTCTTTCTGGGGTGCCAGGGTGGATTGTTTTCAACATGGCTTGTTGCAGTGTCTGGACCTGGCAGGCCCATTTGATTGTGGGTTGTCAGGGATGGCCAAGGAGCCACCTGACAATCTGTGCTGCTCCTGGTGGTCTTTCCCATGCTGGCACCATCCCCCCTCAGGACCTGTACCCAGTACTCATAAACTCAAGAGGGACAGACACCGGAAAGTGTTATGAATGCATCTGCACACTTTTCACATAGGGAGGGGTTGTGGCGTTGTGCAAGCGCGCAGATGCAAACCCCCTGTGATTTCCTTCAGCTTTACTAATCCACCATGAAATGTGCTAGTTTTAGCAATATGCCTGACTGATCTGCCATGCAATTGGTGTAACTTCCCCCTCAGCTTTACTACTGTGCCTTGAGATTTGCCTATGTTTACCTAGAAATTTGTGTATCTTTATCATCCACTTCACTGCTCTGCTCTACCTTGAAATTTGCATATGTTGAGCGATCTACCTCATTGGTCTGTAACCCACATGCATATCCCACAGCTAACAATAGAGACTAGTGGAAGGAGGCAACAAGTGCAACACAGGGGAGGACAGGCAAAACGGTCTGGCAGCTGCAAGAGAAAGATCTTTCGGGAGGTGTATGCTGACTTCCGGAGTTGGTGAACCACCCATTTTTAAAAGCATTTTCTACAAGGGAAACACCAACAGGGAAGAGAGACTTGACAGATTATCTTGACTGAATAGCACTGTGCTCTTGCATAAGACCTGGACTTTTATGTATTTATTATTATGTGTTACTGCATCTATAAAGGCTCAGAAAATTAGTTCAACTTGGCAAACTAATGTGGTCTAGGGGCAGCAGGGTGGTGGTGGGGGCTTTCCTCATGAGCTCTGTGAACCGATTGCAGGAAAGGGTGCTGATGCAAAGACTGAAGGAATAAGTTCTTCCACAAAGGACCAAAGTTACATGACTGGGTACTAAGTGAAACTGAACAAGACACAGAATGCCCGATTCACTAACCTGAGAACCAGTGAACAAGCAAACCATGGTAGCTTATGTTCAGAGTGGCTTAGCATGACATGCAAACTTGTCTATGAACTTGAATTTTACCATAGAAGAAAAATGGGGCATATGTGCAATAAAGAAACATGCACCTGATTTTCCAACAAAATATTTATAGCATTTGGAATTGGAAATACTCTTGCCAAAAACAGGCTTTGAGTTCTTTTCTTCTGCAGTCATAAAGAAAAGTGTTTATTTAATGGTTGGATCTTACTATTCATAACTTCGTTGAAAATAAGATTTGGCCCTATACTAAAGGATCTTCCAAAACCCACTAAAATACAGAGGTGTTTTCAAAGATTCAAGTGTCTTTATTTGTATCTGTTGCTGTTAGCTTAAAAAAAACCCTTAAATGTCTGGAATTTAGAGAAGAAAGGGTTTTTTTTCTTGCTTTAGAACACCAAAGCAACTGCATGAATCACTTAAAAAATACCAATATATCAAATGTACAAGTTCGTGGTATATCTCAAGCTAGCATGTCATCTTTGCTAAGCTGGAAAGGTGCAGGCCTGCTGATGGGTGGGTGACCACATGGGTAAGCAGAGCAGGGATTGGGACTCAGTGGCCTTATACAGCCCTTCTGACTCTTCCCTTCTGTTCTGTTCCCTTCCAAATATTAAACAAGTATCTAATATCTTGCCCTGATCCAATAAAGCTGGACAAATTATCCCTGCAGGTATGAAATTTTTGCAGTCTCCCCTCCAGCACCCACAAATTACATGCCATAATGTTGCCCTAGATTTGAATTATTACATGAGAAGCAGGGCCAATATGTGAAATGTTCATGGGAAAAAAACATAAACATGGCCATAAAACAGGAAAACACTAACAGTACTTGAGATGACACTCTCAGTGCTCTGGCTTGGAATACAGGCTCTGCGAGCTTAAAATCCTCTGATTGTTTACTGCTATTTCTTTTTGCTTATTGAATTTATACCCTGTCCTCCTTCCTTTTGCAAGGAAGTCAAGCTGGCTTACAAGGTTTTCCTCCTCTCCATTTTATCCTCACAACAACAACCCTGTGAGATAGGTTAAGCTGAGAGGCTGTGATTGGCCCAGTGTCACCCAGTGAGCATGACGGCTGAGTGGAAACTGGTCCAGCATACTAGTTGCTGTGCTATGCTGGCTCTCAGTTCTACACTTTGGGAAGGTAATATGAGCCAGAATACAACAGCCCCACTCCTCTCCCCCAGGCTCGCTTCCCCACTCACAGCACCCCCCCTTCCCTTTTTGCTCCACTAGCTTGGCTGATGCAACTGCTGAACTGGTTGTGGCAAAAACAGAGGAGCCCCTTCTCTCCCCTGTGTCCTTTGGCTTCCTACTAAGATGGAGGCATCTTTCAGTTTTCCAGGTTAGTTGCTTGGTGCGAGTATGTAAGCCTCACCTCACAATAATCTATATGAAAAGAAGGGAGGAAGGAGAGGAGCATCTATTGTTCCACAGCTGTGGCCGCTACGGCCAGGCACCTGAACAGTGAGAAACCTGCTGCAATAGTCAGGTGCCATGGTGGAGGGGGATTGGGAAACTATGGAGTATCACTGGGTTGGAAGGGAGACTCAGGCCTTGCCATCCAAAGAAGCATATAGTTGGGCTTGTAAACAACCAAGCCTTTTCCAGCCTTTTTTTGCGCTTGCCAAGCCTAATGATGAATTAAGCCCAGAAGGACGTTCCTTTCTCAAAACAGCACCAAGCAGCCTTACAAAAGGGTCATATAGCTTTCCGTGTGAGAAGCATTTTCAATACTCTAAAGCTCTCTATAAGTGTTCAATATGAAGTATCACATACCAATTTGATTAGCATACTGATTTAGAGTACTTAGTGGAGTGCAAACTGTCTATGTTCTGTCAAGTTAGTTTCCATCTCTGCTTCCACATGAAGCATTGTTTGATTTGATGTGAGCAGCTTCTGACTTGTAAATTGTTGTCTTTTCAGATATCCCGTCATAGAAGAAACCATTCCCAACATAATTTAACACTTCCTGAATATATTAGTCCACTGGAGCAAACAGTAAGCAATTGTATTACAGAATTTTTGTTTTACTAATGTCGCTCTTTACTTGAAATTTCATTAATCAAAATGTAATGCATGTTTTTTGAAGGATAAGGACTTACTGCTGCAGATGCCTCAATATATTAATAAGGTAGAAAGAACTAAAGATTTGGGGGAAGGTTGGTTAAACAGTGAAAATAATAATTTTGAAAGCTACAAGCCATTGTAGCGGATGATATACAATTTCAATTACCCATAAAGCAAAGAGAATTAAAGCTGACATTTCAGCAATACTAGTAGATATTTATTACAGGATAACATTGCTTTTCCAAAAGTGTGTAGCTGTGTTTAGCAAATTAATTACAATTAGGTAAAATGCTAGGTATGAGCTTGCTTTTTAAAAAAGAGTTTGCTACTCAATGGGGAGGAAAATATTTGTAGAATAAAGAAATAAATTGGCCCATGTGTTCCATTTGTAAATTGAGTTAAGTTTATAGGGAACTCTTAAACAGAGATGTAAGTTAGTGAAAATGTGAAAGTTGAATGTTAACAGGGATACCACAACTTTTCAATAATGAAAAAGACTTTTAGAAGAAGTAGGCTAGGAAAGGGGCAAAATGATCTATTAATTTGCTTTAATGGCATTGTACCCACCATATTGTTGAATGCATGATGCTTTCTGTGACTTTTGTCATCTTGAGTCCAAAAGACAGAATAGTTGTTTAGCTAAATAAGAGTCAGCCTACTTCTGGAGTCCTTTTCCAAGATGGGCTCTTGGATGTGTTTCTGGAGTGGGCTTTGTTGTTTACACTGAGCACAAGGATGAACCAGAAGTCACTAAGTTCTTTACACTGTGTAAGCTGAAGTAAAATAGCTCACTGAAGAATGATTCCCTGTGGCATAAGGGCAGGAATATGAAGTATATCTGGCAAACTGAGTCACTGCAGACAAATCATCTCAGTTGTTCTTTATGAACAATATTAAGGACAATCACAAGGTGTGGGTTATTTTATGATATGGGTCCTTCCAGTGTGTTAGTTAGAGTAGACAGATTTTTCTTCTAAAATATGAGGCAAAAGACTTCAGTAGCACTACCTGCTTCCAATCTGGTACAGTGCTGCAACAGAATTTCATCTTGCAAATGGTACTTAACAATTATATCACACTGAGACCTTATGCATGCCGTTTTTGCCATTCACTTAAAGAGGAGACAGCTCTACATGTGCCCCTCAAGTCCTTGCCCTTCCTGCATACGTTCAGGTAAAGCACAATCGGGCTTTACCACAGTGGTGTGAAAGTATTTCCACAATCAATTTCCATGATGCTCTGGGAATGTTTGCACTGGAGAATCATGTATTGGGAACAAGTCCTTTCCATGTAAATGTTGCTGGTTCACAGGGAGGGAAATGTTGGTCTTACTAGGTCTGGGAACTTCAATTTGCAAGGCTCTGACACTACCGGTTAGAATGTATTCTGCAGTTATTATGTCTTTTTAGCCTTGATGGATTATTTGCAGTAAGAAAAAATGCAAAAACTGGTGGGGCATGAGTGTTATAAGTGCAAGTCAATGGCATTTGGGCACCTGTAAAATTCACTGCATGAGGTGGGACGATGGTGAGATAAAAGCCTCATCCGAAAATGCCCCTGGTCATGTACACACCAATGTAGTTCCTCCATAAATAGCGAATATCATCTCTACCGTAGCACCGCAGTAGCATATGCATTGGGCCAAGAAAGCCTTTTCAAACAAGCGTGTCCCATATTCACACAGCACCTTCACTCCTGCAAGATTTTTTTTTTTTTTTTGCAATGGTTCTAATTGCCTAATCCAGGTTCTAAAGTTCTTCAGTAAAACAATCCTTCCTGTGCTAGTTTATCATGCCCACTTCATAATATTTATTGCCTTTATCTAAAATATACAATCACACATAGAAACATCACACTGCAGAATCATAGTTAGGCGTGAAATTTATGAAATATGAACAAGTATAAAATAAAGAAAATAGGCTAGTTCATCGTTCTTTCAAAAGAAGTAGCTTCTGAACAGAGTCCTTAAATCTCCTGCCTTATTTCTGCACTCATTTGGTTCAGCACTACTTCTCCCTCAACCTTTCCTCAGCTGGGAAGGTACAGGAAGGACAGCAGTAAAAACAGACAAATGATGGATATTCATTGAGGCAGAAAAGATAGCAAGTGCTGTAAGGACTTTTCATGTTCACTAACCTCATGTCATCCATCTGTGGAAGGACTGCAAGGATAACCTGAATACTCTTGGAAAGGCTTTGATGAAAATGTCTTAACAGATGAACACAAACACAGCATACACACATCTGTCTGCAGCCAGGTTTGGACCCAGTGTTCCTGATCCTTGAACCCTGTCTTGTGCCGTGGGTCCAAGGGGAAGGATTGGAAGAAGAGAGGTTGTGCTCCTAAAGTCTGCTTCCTCTCCACTCTTACATCTCTGCCAGCCTGATGTTGCAATTTCTGCTTGTTGCCTGTTTCTGTTGGAATAAACTGTTTAGGCTGGGGGGGGGGAGTCCAAAAAGTGGGATCTGTTTCAGAGAAACTAATCAGAAACTTGGATGGTAAACCAAAGCTTCCTCCAACTGAGATGTGAGCCAGGAGAAAATAACTTCCTTGTACATATTCTGGCAAGAACCATGTGCATGTGTAAGGTACAGAATGAAAAGAAGGAAGAAATGGGTGAAAAGAGAATGGGCGAGAGAGAGAGAAAGGTGATTCCTAAGCAGTAATAAGCCGGGAATGTACATACGGCTGGCTATAGTGGTGAGATGGCAAACCCCAATGAAAAGAGGAAAAAGCCAGATGTTCGCTATAACTTTGCTGACATTGGTGGGCAAAGGATGAATGATTGATGTGATTGTAATCAAAACATCCTTGCAGTTCCTATATGGTGCAAGACTAAGATTACGAGAAAGAGATATTTTGTTCGTGATTATACATGTTTTCCCTTCCATTCTTGGTATGGAATGTATGGCCCCAGGGGTTTGAACGGTACCTGTGAGCTGATGCATCAGTGCCTATGCCATATAACAAAGGCTTCAAAATTCTCCAGGGCTCCTGAAGATGGTGCATTATGTAGCATATATGTAGCCCAACGTGCTCCAAAAATTCAGCTGTTCATGCTTCTGATTCTATTGTATGCATTCTTCTGTTTATATTTTAAAATTTGTCTCACATACTAACAAAAATAAATAATATTATATGTGGATTTTTTAATAGACTGCTGCTTACATGTTTTAATTTAAATGTGTCTTTTCAAGCTTAATAAAATACATTATTGCTACAGACAGCTTTTTATGAATTGGTACAATAATGCGGTTAAAGCCAGTTTTTCTAAGCCAGTTCCTCATGACTTGTAACCTGCAAGCCAAATAGCCTACTTCTGGGCTCCTTTGTCCTGGCAATCCTATGAAGCAGCAAAAAATAGGTTACTATATTCTGATGAACCACCATACATATCTAGAGGCTGCATGATTACATAGCTGATAGCTGCATTAATCTCAAGATAATAAACGGTGCATGCTTAAATTCAGACCTGTGCTGAAATGAGCTAGTAGTCTGACCAATGAGGTATCAGTTGGAGTATATTGTCTCAGACATGTTTTTCCTCATGGCCTCTGTACAGTCCCACGCATGGGTTCTGCTAGACACTTGTCAGGGGAACAGCCTCCCATGTTCACCCTCAGTTCCATCTCGTCTGCCATGTTGGTTTCACTGGACAGAAGTTCCTCTTTTGTTATTCCCTCACAGGAAAGTGAAAAATTACAGCCTATATTCCTTTTCTCTTCTCCCATTCTTAGTTTTGTTGCTGTCATTTCCCCGCTGTAATTCTGTGGCAGAGCAGCTCAGTCAGATGGGCTGATGCACCCACAAACAGAACCTGGCCAATCCCTGGTGGGTGATGGTTTGCTTCTGGGAGTCACCAGGAATAAATACCTTTGCCATGGCTGATAATACCCAGTGCCACTGGTTCTGCAACCAAGCTCTCGCCCTGATAACAAGAATTAGAAACAGAATTGTCTGGTCAAGGCACTTTGGTTCACAGCTCTGCTCCTCATCTCCTGTTAGGAGGTCGTCAGATGGGATGCCCTGGTGCTTCCTCACAGGCCTACCATCCAGTTGGATACCATTTAAAGGAGAGCCTTAAAGTGGTGGCTTTTCTGTGGTGGCCAGGCAGGATCATATTGCTATTCTCTTTTTTAAAAGTTTTTAATAAAATGCTCTGTTATTTTTATTTTTTTATTGTTCATGACTTCAAAATCTGTGTAGAGTTGAAGCAGTTTGTAAATGCAGTAAATGTGTAAAAGCAATAATTTGGCAGTTTAGCACTTTGGGAAAAATGTAGAAGTACAATGAATGTTGCATATTCTTGCTTTCTCTTTCAGGTAATCAAAGAAGGATATCTTCTAAAAGCTAGAATTGCAGATGGAGGTAAAAAGCTAAGGTATGCAAGCAATAAGCCTTTTAGTGTAAGAAGTGCTAAACCATTCATTATCTATTGATGGAACAGACATAGAGCTTGGCTTGTGAACCAAGCTCAATGAATCATAGTAATTTTATCAAGTGTTTTCATATGGCACAAAGAATCGATGGTTCCTTCCTCTGTATTAAACCTTAGGGAAGGTGTAATATTTCTGTCTTATTGAGCTGCAGCCAAATTCAGTGCGCAAGGCATAGCTTAAGAAAGCCAGAATTTTAGTATGATAAAAAAAGTTTCACAAAAGGACATTTTTAATTCACAGGGAGTTGTTTTTTATGTTTAAGTGCCCTTGGTTGGACTAGAAGCAAGACCCTTTCCTGATCTTACAGAAAACACAATTTATTCCTTTATCTAATAATCCGAGGTATTCTTTTCAAACTGGGAAGCTGCTGGCTTTAAATTTGCTTAAGCCTGAGTCCACAGATAGGTTTACTGTTTAGGCCAAAAAGAAAATGTATTTTTTAAGGGTGCTGGGAAACAGTTCTGAGATGTATGCCTCATGCTGCGTTTTCATAAGTTGGATAATAGGTGCTGCATTAGCAGGCTGTAGATCGTGTGCTACTTCGACTCTCAGCCTCAGGCAGAGGACTTGAAACTGGCAGTGGCAAACACATGTATCATTCTGCCCAGATCCTAATTTGAGGGGAAGGGAAATCATTGCTTTTCAAACCGGAGCTGGAAATGTCATTTGTAATTAGTGATTTTTGAGAGTGGAAAATACATCAGGGGATTTGGGGGCTGCATTTGCAGATTTTTGAGGTGAGTCAAGCACTACAATTCTATGCATGGATTATACCTGTATTTCCTTATATCATTTGCATCTGATTCTACTGTTCATTTTCTGAAGTGGTATGGTCTCATCAGAATGTACCACCTTAGTGTTTAGAGTGTAAGACTGCTACCTCTACAAAGCATTACATTTTGATGTAAAGAATGCTTTTTTTAATGCCAGGTGACTCTTGCTCTGTAGGAGAAACTGAAGAAGTGTGGTCCTATCAGAATGTTGTAGCACCACAAAATATGAGCATTTTAACTGTTATAGTCACCAAAGTGATGAGCCCTCTCAAGGGTCCGGAAAGTTTTTCTATTGGCCTGTTAAAGGAATAGCCCTACTATGAATTTTCTGATTTGGAAGAGATTCCAAACATTTGCTACTAGCTCAAATGCTTGCTGGAGCCAAGGTTCATTACCTTAAATATCTTGTTAACTTACTCATTTTTACGACATCAATTATGGTGGTCGAAGTTTAGGGTGGGAGGCCTGCAGTTCTCTTCCCTCTTTTCCATACAACTCTGTGAGCCAGGTTAGGCAGAGAAAAAGAGACTAGCCCAAAGTCTTGCTAAGTTGCATGGTAGAGCTGAAAGTTAAACTCAGTTGGACCACTTAGTTTCACACGGATCTTTGCTCAAGACTATATGTGAAAAGGGGTACAGAAATCTTCTTTTTTAGTTTTGCCATGTGTTACACTTGTACACCCACAGTGAGTTTCTTGAAATAAGAGATCTGGAATCTCTTCTCAGGTGTTCATGCCCGTACTGACGCTTTCTTCTCAGAAACACAAAACATTCCGAGGTGTTGATGTTCTTACACATCCTGACTCTTCTATTTCAGACTTCACATACCTGCTTCTTTAAGGACATATAGCAATGTAAACCACATTGGTCTTATGGTGTGCTGCCATCAGGTGTCCATTTGCTAGAATGCAAATATGATGGCCACACTAAGTGAGCCATAGAAGTTCGTTGCTTGCAGTTTACACAACACTCAAAAGTCAGGGTTCTATTTGATGCTGTTCTGTAGGCCCAGATTTTTCACTGCATAAAAATGGCATCGTTTACAGAGGTTTTGAATCTGATTGTTGCAGTGTTTCCTTCAGTTTTGTATCAATTCCATGTAACTTTCAGATTTTGTTTTCTTGTGTTAGATTGCTAAACTATGTCTTTTCCACCACCAAACAAACAGCAGGATTCATTAAATGGGTTTAATTAATTTAAATGGGTTTCCTTTTGTTCCTTCAGCACCACAATAGCGTTTATGGAATGATCTTTGCAAATCAATAGTTGGTCCATCTGTCTAGGGATAGAGTTACCTTTTGCTGAACTGATTTCTCCCTAAGGAACAGAACAGCACTGCTGGTATCACTTCTTTTCATGGTATTGCATGAACCTTTGCAGCACTCTAAATCTTAGTTAGTCCTTGCAGACCCAGGCCTCATTTGGTCTGCACTGGACAGGGTTGTCAGCTACAAGGGAGGGCACAGCTTCAGTAGAAGTAGCCATTCTGGAAAGGGCTAATTGTTTCATCTCCGCCTGCATGGTCATCCACACCTGCCAAAATGCTCCTTTCTAGGCAAATGGGAGAGATGCAAGAGCCCTATGGTCTTTTGTGTCTGGCAATTCAGGTTTTCTCCTTAGACTCTCTCTTTTGCTTGATCTTCCTCTGCTCCCCAGAAAAAAATTGGGCGGCAAACTTCGGCACAGCTTTTTATGGAATGATATTTTTGCTCATCACCACAGCCATGCTACCAGACGTTGGTGGCAAGTTTGGTAGTAGGAACAGTGGGGTTGTGTGTCTGGGTGTGCAATAATTGGCGAGAAGAACCATGTGTCACCCACCCCTGCTCTGCACCCTTCTGACTGAAGGCTGTTTTCCATGCTTCCTTCTAGGGAGTGAATGGCCTTCTTTTAAAAAATCTAGTTAAAAAGATGTCTGTTTGTCAGCATTTCAAAAAAAAAAAAAAAAGAGGGGAGGGGAGAATGTAGGAAGTATAATGCATACATCCTCGGTAGTTACTGAAAAATCACTGCTCTGTGCATCAAGTCCCACATATGGCAGTTCAGGTCCTTTGGGGTCATGATAGTACAGCTTCAGTGTCCAGATGATGAGCATTGTGCTGGCATGGACAGTATTGATAGGAAATGCAGCAGGAACTTCCCCTCTCCACTCCCTTCACACACAACCAAATTCAACTGCTTCAGAGGATTCTTCAACCTTCCAGAGCAGATTTTGTTGGGCAGACAGGGTGCTGCAGGATGGAAAAGAAATCACTCACCCCATGTTTTTGACAGAAACATAGAAGCAGTGAGTCAGAAGGGGCCTCCTGGGTCATCTAGTCTGACCCCCGGCTCCTGCCGGCTCCACTCATGACATGCCCACCATGTACATGTCCAGGCTATCCTTAAATGCCCTTACCGCTGGGGCTTCAGTAGAAACATAGAAACAGAGTGAGTTGTTCCTTTAGTGGGAATTATTAACTGGATAATGTCCAACATGATTAGGGTGAACACACATTGCTGAGAAGTCACATGTTACTTACTTGGACTGCAGGTGTCCACATTTTCAGAACATAACACCCCACTACAGTAAGGTATGCGGTAGATCACTGAACTAGTATCAAAATTCTGCTTCTGCTTTCCTACTTGTTCCCAGATTTTGCATGTATTATCGATCCTATTTAAATTTAATATTTAAATTATGCACAGGAAGTAAAATGACTGGATTTGTAGTACAAGTCTTGCAGAATGCCTTAACTTTCATTGACCATAGCACTAAATTTCCAATCTGCTCTTCATTCAGAAAGAAAAGAAAAAAAAATCAGTTACTAACATGTAGCTGTTTACAAATAGCAACAAGATTCCAAAGGCTTTGATTCTGGAAAATAGATAACTTACATCCACAAAAAGTATTTTCTTTTGCTTTACAATTAAATGTGGCATTATTTGCTCTAAAAGCAAAACACAACACCTCACCAAAATGTCACATGGTTGTATAAAACACCTGTAAACAACTGTGACTAGGGAATAAGAGCTCATTCTAAATTCAGAAAAGTTCTGTGTTGATTTGTGGATTATCTGTGATTGTCAATGGAAAGCATAGAGCTTTGGGTTTTTGGATCTTGTTAGATTTCCTGATCTCAGTTTGGATTTCTGAATCATGTTTTGCACTTGGCCCTTAGGTTGATTTGGGGTGGCGTGGGGGGGGGGAGGGGCTATGAACCATTCAGAGAGCTTTCTGAATAGCTGAACTGGAGCCAAATAAATCTTCTGCTTGATATCACCAAGCATCAGCTAAAGCATCTGGACTGAACATCAAACCCAGGCATTCATTTTGCTCTATTACGGCTGAAACAAGTTTGTGGATTGATTTGCAAGTTTAATTCGTGCCAATTTCAAACAAACAATACTCTTCCATGTTGCATGAGAATGCTGCCCCATGTTGGTTATTGAAAATAGATTTAAGAACTTGAATATAGGTTTAGATATTACTTTATGGAATTGCAAAATTATTTGGGATTCAATTGAAATGCAGAGAAATTTCATTCATTATGCAGAGGGGTTACTACATCAGGGAACTACAGCCAATCGGAGCTTCCTGACAGTTTACTGCTATAATGCACATTTGGTACACACATTTCAGACATTTAGGTCAACATGCCAACATTAGAACAATTGAAAAAAAATGGTAATGTGCAAAATAGTTTTATAGAAATAGTTTCTATGGCTCTTCTGATAGCTCACTTCCTCTCCCTTCTCTTTTTTCCTAAGTTTCTACCACACATTTTACTATGTGATTTTAAAAGAATTATCATCAGACCTGAAAACAATTTGTGGGCTACCAAACTGATAATTAAATTCATGAAGTTGAAGTTATTGAAACTATTTTAAATTCTGATAACATTCTTTCCGGCATTTTCTGACTGTGTTCCATTTTGAAAATCAGCTGTGTGTTGGGGTTGAAGAAGACTGCAGACATCTTCCTGCCTAACTTCTTTTCACATGTATCTCTGCTGCCCACTCTCTGACCTCCAGACTGTTTGATAAAAATGTATCTTCTTTTCCACAATCCATAGCTAGGTTGGAATCCTGGTCTATAAAAGTGAATCTCTCTTTCACAACAAATTTGTTTAATTGATCCATTCATTTTTATGTTGCTATTTCTTGAAAGGAAAAACTGGACTTCTTCTTGGCTTGTTCTCACTGGTCGGAAAATAGAATTTTACAAAGAATCCAAGCAGCCAGCTGTGGCCAATCTGGTAAGCAGTTATCTTTCTCATGTCTCATCTTTTCAGAAGTGTTATTGAATAAAAAGTTTGGCATCATCAAAAAAGAAAAAAAAATCACAGAGCTGCTAAGCCTTAGACTTCTGAGAGCAGATGTAAGAAAATGACTCAATAAACTTTTAATCAGATGCGAGAGGAGGGGAAATAGAATTCAGCGTATCTTTTATTAAGAGGTGCTTTTTAAGAATAATTGCAAAGTGAGACGGATGGTGAGTGGCTCTCCAGTAATGTGGAGGTAACGCTTTAAATTAAGGTGCTGGTTATAAATGCTTTATTCTTATTTATGAAATGATCTCTAAATGCAACTACTTCCTCAAATAATGTATTATAAAGTATGTTATAAAATGCATTAGTAATAAATGCTTAACAGATGATGCGATGAGAATCTGTTACAAAGGATATTATAAGATGTAAATTGTATTAAACCCTGTGTTGCATCTTTAATACATGAATTTAAGTTGCTATTGAGCTTGCTATAAAGTGGCTTGCATATCATAAATAATAATAAAGTAGTTATAAGTGGCACCTTAATATAGGGTGTTACCAAAGAGCAAAACACTGTAAGTTAGCAAAGTGAGTTTTATCTTCATATAAATGTGACATCTATGTCTGCCTAGCATTTCCTGAATATTTCTTATGACTCTATCTAATAGAGCTAATGCACCTCAAAGCAGAATTCACCACTCTTAAAAAAAACAAAAAAAACCAAGAACAAGAAGGAAAAGTGCCTCAAGGAGAGGCCACCGTTTGTAGCCTTCACCGATGTGACAGTTACGTTGTACAAATAATCAAGGCATGTTTCCCTTCAGTGCTAGTTACTGCAGAGATAGAGGATCCTCTTCTCTGGATTCTGAAAAGCAGAGAATTCCATAAATGTGTGACACTATGGACTGAACAGGGACAGGTTTGACAGTCCCCTATAGTGATGGCTTCTCAAGGCTTGATCAAACCTGCCAAACTCCATTGGTTTGATGGGTGGCCAAAAAGGTGCGCTACATGACAGGAGTCAGAAACAATACGTGAATTGAGATATGTTAGGTGATACGGAGTCTTCCTTTTGTTTCTATTTGTTATTAGTTTGTGTCATGAATATTGCTAGCCATGGGGCACCTTGTCCTTTTCCTTTAATGTGGGGTGGGGGGAGTGAAGAGGAGCGTATCTCCCTTAATCTCCTGTGCTGCAGTGATGAGACAGCATGCTGCTGTACTTTCATCTTGGCCAGGTGAGGCAGTGAATGTGGCCAGCTGAGAGCCAGTGAATGGAGGCTCAGCCCAGGTGGTTTTTCTGTTCAGGTGGCAACCCAATTTGAATGGGGGTCACCCTCTCCCAGGTGTACACAATTTTAAGTGGAGCTGCCACCTCTCCCTCATTACAGTCTGTTCAGATAGATTGGTCCAATTCTGAGGAAGAGGCAGAGCTGAAAACTGGGAACTTCACTAGCAAAACCTAATGAAGTTTCTCAGCAGAGCATGAGAATCTGCCAACCTTGGAAAGCATGGAAGGTGCAGGAAAAGCACCTGGAACTGGTCAGGTGGCAACAGATGAAGCAAGCAAATGAGTGATGAAGTCTCCAGCACTCCTGCCATCTAACACTGAAGCAGCAAGAGCCACCCTGAGACTGAAGCCAGACGCTCTCCTGAAAGGGAGGCTAGGCAAGGATTCACTCTAGTAGACCACTCTAGTAGAAGATTTTTCTGATTTACACTGTTCAGTAACCAGCTAAGTTTCAGTAAAAGAACTATGCTTCTAAGGTCTCATTTTGAGTTCAATAAGGAAATGGAGAAAGGTGACCAGCTCACAACAAATGTGAGTCTCAGTGGTGCAGACTGCCTTGTACCAGCTTCACCTGATAGCCCAGCCAAGGCCACCTGTGTTTGCATGGGGATAATTTGGCATCACTTCTATATCCTATGGTAACCTCTAGGTTAGATTGCGGCAGTGCAGATGGTTCTCAAGTTGTAGCAAGCACAAAATTCAGTGGCCAAGGTTTTGTCTAGGACTCAGTGATGTGAACATATAAATAAATCTATTTCTGTTTCACTTGTGCTGGTAGCCTAGTTTACATCTGAGCCAAATTCAAAGTGCTGATTTTAAGCCATCAAGGCCTACAGGGCTTGGGATCCAAATGTATTAAGTACCACCTTTTCCCATATGGATATACCTGATTCTCGAGGTCAGCATCCAAAGTTCTTCTTTGTGTGTCCCTTCTGAGAGAAATTTGGGGGTGGCAGTTTTGTAATGGACCCATTCTATGATAGCCCCATGTTATGAAGGACTTTCCCCAAGGAAAACCAACAGAATTTGGAATGCTCTGGGGGATGTTCCTGTGGAGAGAATTAATGATCCATCCGGCTGAGGTCCTAGCAAATCCTAGTGAAATGGTATGTTGAGAATGGAACGGTGACCCAATTGCACTTGTACCCCCTCCAAAGCTGGTCCTTGGCAAACTGGGCAGCTGCAGTCAATGAAATAGGCTGCATGTCAGTTAGCGCTCAAATGGCATAAGAGAAGTGAGCTACTCTAAGGTGCACAATCATTCCAACTGTGGCCATGCATGCAGCAAAAGAGATTTACTCTTCCGCCTTCCTTGTGTCCTTGGATAACCATGTTGTTGAGCACTCTTGGGTGGGCTGAGGCCTGTTAAGACTCTGTCCAACAACGGCCTCCTTGACCTCTCACAGTCGTGCTGTGGCCAGTTTTGCACTGTACTTTTGGATCACTCATCTGCACAGTGACACTGTTTTTACTGTTGCTCCATCCAAGTTATCTGGCATCCACATCTGCTTGGTTTTATAGGATCAAGTTCAGTTGCTTCAGCCTCACAAAGTGGGCAGAGCATGGAAACCACCGAGTGCCCCAACAGCCCTTCCAAGTGACTGTATACTAGCTTCAGTCTGCCAGCTACTCCCTGCCTTTCTTGAAGCAGGATGGCTTGACTTCAGTGGCAATGGCACCGGCAGCCCCAAGATTAGATTATTGCACTGTACTGTGAGTGGAGCTGCTCTTAAGGCTGTCTCAGGAGCTGGAATAATGCAGCCTGACCGTTCTTTATGCTCTTCCCATTTCAATGTGTACACCTTTTGCTAAGGAGACTGTACTGACTAGCTATTTACAAACACAGAAGTTTTAAGGTTTTGGTCCCAGGGTATAAACCTCTAAACAACATGGGACCTGGATACTTGAGAAAGCACCTTCTCCTTTATCAACCTTCCCAGTCACTGAAGTCATCAGGTGGCCTTCTCCTGGTGGTTCACATGGACCTATGGCCATATTGGAGTCCACCTGGAGAAGACTCCTTGGTCTGGCAGCTCCATTTCTGTGGAATTCCCTGCCCCTGGACTGTGCTGTTTTCGGTGGATCCTGAAAGCATCTTTATTTCAGGAGGCCTTCCTGAACTAACAAGCCGCAGGTTAATTATTCTGCTTTAACATACTGTTTTATTCCTTCTCTGTTTTATCATTTCTTTATTTTTCACCACTCTGGAATCTCCATTACACAATATGGAAAAATATATAACTGTTCTTTTCAGGATCTGCAAAGCACCGCAGGTTGCCTGCAGTGCTTTGCAGAGATAGAGAAGGCATCCTGATTCACCTTGCAAATACTCGCAGATTTAGGCCCAGATGTGCAGGTGCTTGCAGGATTTGTGCCAGTCCACTCTTGCGGGCACCCCAAGAGACCCAAAAAAAGGCACTCAGTTCCTGTTCAGTTTTGCCACAACCACACACATCATTTGTGGTGGCAGCTATGTGGTCAGACTTGGTTTCTGCTTCCAGTCTGCAGTATCTGAACTCTTCCAGTTCCTATTTCTGCTTTTGCCTTGCACGTGTTCAGCCCATGTCCATGTAAGGCCTGGTTCCCCTTTCACCTCGATCCCGCCTAAACCCAATGCTGAGGTCATTTGATGTCACCTTGCCAGAGCTGACAGGTGAAAATAAATAAATAATAGCATATGTTATACTGCCCATCCCATTATCATCGTACACCTTTATATCACAGAGTTATTCATCCCAATTTAGTGATTTAAACAATGTAGTTTCCATGTGGTGTGTACTAACTCACCCACCTTCTTTTTATGTAATTGGTTTAGTTGTATGTAACCCACTTTTTACCATACCTGATTGGAATAAAATCTTCACCTTTGACTTTGAGAAGGACAGAGTGATTTGTAGACAGGAAATGTATAGTGATTTGTAGACAGGAAATGTATATTCTTCCTTTCGAATGCTTAGTTCACTAGACTTCTTTTTTGTAGTCAAAATTTTAGCAAGCATACACATGCGACATTATTATATTTCTTTTATATCCCACCTTTTCCCGTTTCTGAAGGTGGCCCTGAATAAGCATGCATCCCATTCATTTTTATTTTGCGGTCCTACACAGGGATGTATAAAAATGTAGTTTCTGTTCCAAATCATGCAACTACATGCTGTGTTCATTAACAAACATGAATGCAAGCAGCAATATAATTTCAGGAAACCTTTGCAATTTCCTGAACTGGTATTTACATTTTAAAGTGTGCACTTGTGCCAGTGCATTTGAGAGTGCATGTGTGTGCAACTTCTTAAAATATGCATTTGCCCATTTGTTCATATGTGCAAGTATACAAATGCCCCTTTAATGCTTTAATGTGGAGAGGTGCACATTTTAAGAAATGTGATTTTTTTCACATTTGGGTTAAGATGTGTGGCTTCTAACATGAGATTTCTTAACCTTTTCTGTAGACTATGATAAAGTGCTCTTTATGTGCCTTGCCCCCCATCCATCCCCAAACCAGTAGTCTTCTTCTATAGAATGTGATGCCAGTTGTGTGAGGATTATGAGTGTTTGTGTGTGTGTGTGTGGGGGGGTATAATGAAATCAGAACATGACTTAATCAATTGGATTTGATACCTATGTACTGACATTAACAGGGCCAATTCAGACAGAGTGAACTGCTCCCTGGATCAGCATTGTCCTCACTCTGGATGGACACTCCCACTGCCTTTCACAGTGCCCTCCCTTGCACCTCAGGTCCTTCAATAGAGAAGGTCTACTAAGTCCCTGGCGAGACAGTATTGAGCTTTGGATGAGTTGTGTATTAAATTTGCAAGACATGTACAGACAGTCATGGAGGTGTAATGATGAATATCTTGTCTACCAAGCTGTATGCTCCATTGTTGTAGATGCATCTGTTAAAGACATCCCTTAAAAATTTGTTTTTGATAGTTAACACCACTTGACCTTCTGTTTTGCATTTCATCCATATTTTATTAACCTTGTATTTTAATATATTGCAATTAGTTTTTATTATGTTTTATTTTATGACTGTGAGATGCCCAGAGGTGCTGTGGCACAATCAGGTGGCATACAAACGTTGTAAATAAATAAATAAATTCAAAGAAGGAATTCACCAATATTATGTTCAAATTTCTGCTTGCAGAGTAATTTGGCTTAACTGCTGCTACTTTCTGGATGCTCCAGAGAAGGGTTAATCCAACATTTAGTCAACATCTTAGCAGCTATAAATAAAAAATGGCAGGATCCAATATGACAGAGTGAAAGTTTCTGCATCCAGAGATCTCACCTTTCAGTAGGAGCCCCCTCAAAACCCAAGCTCATCCTGAGACTTAAGGGATCTTGGACAATGACTTCTCATGCAGTATATGAAATGGGAACTGAAAGGGGAAATTGAGATAATACGGGAAAAGGCACAAAAGTGCTTGGGCATGCACAAGGAACTGTTTAGCCATTATGTTTTTAACAGAAATGAAGCTGTTCAGTGAATAGTAAATAAACAGACCCATCAGAGATTATGTGCTATAGAATTTAGCCTTTGCTGAAAAACATTGGACCCTTTACACTGAGTCATTAATGACTGAATTCTCCCGCTGCCAAAGTATGCCTGCTAATAATGTCATAGCCCAGAACTTTCTTTCCCTACCAGCCTAACAATCAGGAAAAAAAGTTATTCAGCAAAGGAACTCTGTGGAGACAAGCTGATTTATTTCTGATGCAGCTAATGTGATGTTTGCAACAAACCATTCACCATGCTATAATTTTTGATAGCAGCAAAGGAAATAAATGTACAGATGTGATTTCATTAAAAATTATTTGTTTACTGATTTTACTTTCAAGTATTGTTTACTTTGGAGAATGGAAGAATTCAGCCATTAATTCAATAATTTAATGAAGTCAATGTTCGTTCATTGTAGTATGAATTTAATAACCTAGCGATCTTATTTTAGCAAGAAAATGATGTGATTTACTAAAAAGATGAATATACTCTTAAACCATAAACACATTAATTCATTAATTCTTGATTAAGGACTGTGCATACAATGATCATTTTTTTAAAGATGCAAAATTGGAAACAAAAATATTTCATTGTGCAGTTCCATTTCAACAAAGGGAGGAAAGAATAAAAGTACCTTCCAATAAACCTTATTGTATTAATAAAGAGGGAATAGTTGTTTAACTTATACAGGTACTTCAAAACAAAATATAAGCTATAATAATACATTTAATTACTAAAATGGTTCCAGAAACCCAAACTAGTTTTATTTTATATTATTTCCAAACCTAACATTGTTGATCCAGGCCTAATGCTAGATAATGTTGTTACCTCAAGGCAAAAAATCCTACTTCTGATAGAAATGCATCCTACCAGCACTGGATTTCACACATGTTATTTGTGCCTACAGCTGACAATTAAGCAGGGTGGTCAAGGAAAGATGAGAATAGGCACAACTCCTTCCCAGAATCTGTCCTCCAATTTCCTAAGAGTTTCTTCCCCCTGCAAAGATTTTTTTTCCTGTTTGTCTGCCTCATTCTCATCTGCTTTTGAATTTCTTTTGGTGATAGTGATAGTGACAAAGGGCAGTGTGGTAGGATACGCACATAAATGTTCTTATGAGCTGTATTTCCATCCTGGCTCTGCCATTCTTTTTCTCTGCTAATTGCCATGGTTTGGAAGGGCTGTGCACGCCATTGCCATGTTGCATCTGGCATGCGGACCACTGCTGGCATAGTAACCTGGAATTACTAGCTTTGACTTGGACTAGATTGTAGGGCTATCCGCATCTCAAGGGTGCAGCAGTGCGGTGCCTTAGCCGGCATGACAGCTTTTCAGGATCGGGTTATAGACACATGAAATGGAATGGTTTGTTCTGTGCACCATTCATTGCCCCTGGAATGTGCATTGCTGTGGTGTGAAATGCTCTGCTGGTATATTTCCTTCAGATGTATTTGTCAGCCACAGGTCGGTGCTTTAAAAAAAGAAAGAAAAAAATCTCTGTTTAGACCATTCTCCATTTTAATATTAAATAAGAGTCTACTATGCTTTTTGCACCTTCTAGAGAGTTTTAATTCAGAAGAGGGCATCTTACCTCAGGTTGTTAGCTCTTCTGCAAACTCATTTACTGAGTGAAAATGCCTTCTGAATCCATATTCATGGAAAGCAAGATTTCATTGTAACAGACACTTGTAGCAATTTACAAAGCACAGTCCCTTCCAATGGCTTTGATATAGGATAACTGGTCTGAATGAAGAACATACAGCAAGGAGATTAAGTGTTGGAGTGAACCCTTGTGTTAGCTCTCGCTTCTGCAAGAAGTTTGAAGGATTCCTTCAACTTTATGAAGCTGAGAAAATATATGTGGTATCCTAACATGTTCCAGTGGCATTTCTTGTTCCCAGCAGTATATACTGGCAACAAAGAACTAGATCTGGGAGATGCACCAGCCAGCTAACCATATGCCTCATAATACTGTGTTCATGTTCTTACGATTCTCTTTATGCACTTAATGATATTCTGGAAGAAGGGGGTTCTGCCAGTTTGTCCATCTGGAAAGGATTGTATGGCGAGTTGGTGGCCAAACTAAGGCTGAGCTGCCTTTCCTGGTGTATTCAAGGAGCTAGTAATGTTGGCAGGAATGTAAGTTAATTATCAAGGAGCAGAAAAACCACACAAATGACAGAGGGAAAAGTTGTAGGACATTCAGCTATGATGTGAATTAATAGATCCTCACATTTTTCAAAGTGTTTGCATATCTGAGATTTATTGCTTGTAGTTTTTCAGTAAAGAAATGAAGCTACATTAGATTGGGCCATCTAGCTCAGAATTGTTGACACTAGCAGTGGGTCTCAAGATTTCCCAGCCCTAACTGGAGATATCATGTAAGTTCATTGCATGTAAACAATGTGCTTTTCCCTAGGTACAGCTCTACCCCTTTGTGAATCTGGATTCATGCAACTGGTGTGGTCATGTGTGAATTAAGATCTGAGCTTAACTGGGCTCATGATGGATTTGTGTGGTTATTTAACTATGGGAAAAACATAGAACTTAATCTTAAACATATCAATAGATATACATTTGAGTGTCTGAACTGCTATATTTGCTTATGTACTACAGTGATACTTGGGCACACTCCCATAGACAAAAATGTGTTATGGGAACTGGTACATGCATATACTAGTTAGGAATTGTCATTATTTCTCCTTAAGTAGGCATCATTTCTTCTCCTTGCACATTTAACTTTAAAAAGTCATTCAAGAAGCCAAATAACATAATCCAGATGAAATCTAAGTTATTATTTATATTAGATACTGCTCTTGATAAATTATTGGTCTGAAATATTAAGAATATATTGTTCTCTTAATCTAATACTTTGATTTTGCATGAATTTGGCAAGTTTCCAGTGCAGGCAGCATCTCTTGCCCCATTTTAAAAAATCACTTATATGAGCTATAGTGGCCCATGTTACTAGGGACCACCAACCGGCTGCTGAGTGAAGCTGTGGTGACAAGGTGCCATTTCATTTTTCAGCAAAGGTTTTGCTTGTTTGGTTGTTTGTTTTGCTGTTAAAAAGGGAAAGCAAAGAAAGAAAACCTGTGATCATGCCATCTTTAAGCTTGCCTCCCCTTAAATTCTCTCCACCCCATTTCTGGCATTCTCTCTTGTGGAGGAATGAATAGTCCTACAAAGGAAAGGAGGATTAGGCCTGGCCTTTATTAATGGCCCCTTATTAATTTTGATTGCAGTCCTACACCCAGATTCCTGTAAGTAAAGCCTGTTGAACTCACTGGGCGAACTCACTGGGCCGTGTGTGTGTGTGTGTGTGTGTGTGTGTGTGTGTGTGTGTGTGTGTGTAAAGGATTCTGTTTGTTAAACTCATACATTTTAATGATGGGCATTTTGGTAGAGTAAGCCCTTGCCTACTCAAATAAACACAACTGATTTCACAGGACATCTGGCTAATTGTTTTGAATATTTCTTCCATGGTTACAACTTCCAACTTCTGAAGTCAGTATCTAGTGTTGCATCCAGTACTCTAAAATACAATTAATTTCAATATTATGGGTTTAAAGGAAACATCAAAATACTCTAAACTAACCAAATTAGTTTCTACATTGTCTTAAACTAGAAATTTAGCAGTGGTGGTGGTAGTAATATAATAATAAGGCTAAAGAAAATTCTGAACAAATATTTCAGTTTCCTAGGAAACATCATCCAGTGCATAGGATCAACCTTTGTACAGATTAAATTCTAAACTCTCAGAATCTAATTCTTTTTGCAGTGCAACAGTTATGTTGTAGAAATGTTTCTGATCCTAATTTTAAGAAACAATTTATAGTGTTTTATGGAAATCTGAATTGTGGCATTGAACTGACCTAGCAGAAACTGACCTAGTCTCCTATTATCTGATAAGTATCTTTATTATTATCTGATAAGCATCTCTACTTATCCCTTTTCTTCCTTTTCCTCCTCTTCTTCTAAATGTACAGAAACCAGGGTATAAACCTGAATGGGTGGACTTGTGTGGAGCACAAATTGAATGGACTACAGAGAAGTCCAGCAAAAAGAATGTCTTCCAGGTAGGCAATGATTTATTATTGTCCCATCAGTCTTTGGCGGGCAGACTGTTGTTGTGTTTTAAAAATACCTAACAACACTGAGATTCCTTTCTATATGTAGCTATTTAATAACTGTTAAGTCTGCCAACACAATGTTTGTACTTTCTTCGTTAAGGCAATTGGAAAGCATAACATTGTATTCACTCTTTCCTTTTTTTTTCCCCTTGGGCCAAAGTGTCTTGATGATTGAACCTACTAAAAACCCTTGAGAACCTGTTGATTTGCTGATTAATGTGCCACATTTGATTTGTTTTTAAAAGTTGGTAGGTAATTTGTTTTGGGTTTAAGACTGGGATCCTTGACCTAGTGAACTCCTGTAAACAGAACTTTCACATGCTGCTTACATAAGCTATACTCCCAACTGAGTGGAATTTTCCTGTTTGTTTTTATTATTTCTGAAGGCTTTAATGACAGGTTCATTCCAAAGTAAAGGAGCCACAGAGATGTGGAAAAGAAAAACAACTCTGCATTTCTGAAAGCTAGTTCAGAAAGCTATACATTTTCTACTTAAGTCAAATAATGTTAATGAATGCAAAGAGTTTAATAAGTCGGTTTCAGGCTACTTACTAAACATGCTTATTATACTGGTAAAAATTCCAAATAAAAGTGGTATGGATTGTAGCCTTGCATCACAATCCTATGCATGCTAACTCAGAAATAAGTACCTCTAAGTTCACTGGGACCTACACCCAACTATGCATAGGATTGCAGCCTCAGTTATCAAGGCTGACTCCAGCCTCATTTGTTGAATCAACAGAGAGTTTTCTTAAGGTCACCTCTGTCATAGAGGGGACCTGTAGGGGTTGCCAATGCTCTGTAGGGCTTACTTGATGATGAATGGATGTCTCTTAGGAGCCATTTGTGTTTTCCACAGTGACCTGGAAATTAAGTTCTTCTGAGACATTGGGTAGAATGTTTTTGCAATATTGGCCAACTCTGTGAGCTGCAATTTTTTGTGGCAACAACCATTCATCCCTCCCCACCACCATTGTTGCCCCCCCCCCCCACTGCCTCAGAATAACTTTCTGGGACATCATCAGAAACAAAGATGGTAGTTTTGAGCTGCTAATTGCAGGTTGATATATTTTGTTTGAGTTTTTAAAAGGGTCAAGATCATTGAACTCAGGTAAGCACAGATTAAAATGATTCAAGCAATATAACTAAGATTTCTGTGACAGAGTTCCATAAATATATTATTAGCAACTTATTGGGAGTGTGGTATGGTGGTGAGAGTGCTAGACTGGGACTTGAAGATTCAGGCTCTAGTTTCCTACTCAGCCATGAAAGGTACTGGGTGACTTTGAGCCTGTCATGGATTCTTCCACCTTACAAAGTTGTTTTTGTTGGAACAAATGAAAAGTAGGAAGAAATTGCAGCTTACCTTGGGTTCCTTGCAGGAAGAAAAGTGCTGTATAAATACAATATAATCATGATGAAGATGACGTTTACTGTGCTGAATTAAAAATGACTGATTTTCATGATTATTTCATGAGATTGTATATGAGAGAAAAGTTGAAGTGGGAAGGCACCAGGATATATTTGACCTTAATTGCACCCCACAGTTTCCTGGTATGATGAAGCACCATCATAATCATTTCCATCTTACCTATGAAACAATCACTAGATGAAAGCACAGGTGTACACTCCCTCACCTGTTCATGGGATCGCTATCATTCCATGCTGCTTCAACATCCAAAGTCATGGTGTCCTGCTGCCACACCTTGCAGCCTTTTTGCCTTGAGAAGGCTTATTTTTGTTGATGAAAGAACTTGAAAGCACAAACTTCTTTGAAGTGACTTCGTAGGACCCTGTGAGCGATGGAGCAATTTGCAGTCAGATATTGTTTTTGTCTCCCCAGCAAACTGACATGTTACACTAGGTCTTCATCAGAAGAGCTGTGAATAAAAGAAGATTTATGTTCAAATCACATGCTTTAAACATTTCCGCTAAGTGCTAGTTTGCTCTTTGGTGTTGAGCCTGAAATTTAAAGCACTGGGGATTAAAAGGATTACAACATAATCTTAAATAATCCTAAGTGTCATTTACAGAGAGATGGTTGTAATAACTAAATAAAACCATGTTAAGGGATGGTGGTGTTGTCAGTCAGCAACTGAAACCGTGTCCCTGATGCCTGATCGCTCTGTTTCTTCTCCCCATTATTGACTCTGGTTTTATGCTGGGTATGTACATCGTGATGGAAGCTGCTTCTAAGGAAAACAGTAACATGAGGGAATGCTTTGCAGTCAGTGCTAACATGGTTACCACAGCTTTAGTAACTAGATTAGTTTTTGCTTTTTAAAAAATCATCTTAAGGTTCAGTGTTTCATGCTTATGGCACAACTTTTCCAGAAAGGCTTATCCCTTTCTCCTGTTTCACTCTTGCTGTTTGTTCTGCCTTCCATGAAAGTCAGTCAGCCACTCCTGAAGTTAGCATTCCAAATAAGACATGCTGGAAGGAAAACGCTGGGCATGTTTCACCTTAGCTTCAGCTCACATGGTGATTATCCAACTGTTTTGGGGAATGTTGCTTACTATACAGCATTGTCTATGCTAATAATTTATTTTGTACCAACGGTGTGTTTTCATGGCATGAGATAATGCATTTCCTGCCCTGAAATTCCTGCCTGATGATCAAAGCAGAATAAATGATAGGTATATGTAACCAGGTTGGACCCAAAGAAAAGGAGCGGATTGAGCCCAGAATTAACCTTCATTCGTGGATCCAAGACAATATAAACACATATACTGAGATGCTTAGTCCTATAAATATGGTAGTTGTATGCTTTGTCATTGGCGGGATTTATTGATTGCATTGCTGGTCTTTGGTTCAACTCACTGGAGCCCTTTGCTTTTTGCTTTGGGCAGGCGTTAGCCTCTGCTCTGTGCCCATGTTGCAGTGATGGACAAGAACAATGGCTTCAGAGGCTTTAATTTGTTCCACACTATATTTGGTAGATCACTTTGGTTTCCCCCTTTCTACCTTCTCCACCTGTACAGTGAGCTGTCTGTAATGGGCTAAACCAAAAACATACGTAGCGTTCCAGCTGTTTTTCTAGGTAGCATTGTTCCTCTGCAGACATGCTGAAAGAGAGAGCAAGTGTTATGAGAGAATGAGATTATGTAAGTATGGGCTGCTCCTATATATTATAAACTGCATATCAGAATCAAAGATATCTAGGACTACAACCACCATCATTCTGGCCAAGGATGACAAGAGTAGTAGTTCTATCTCTCTCCAGTGTGCATCAGGTTACTCTCAACAGATTCACTGGAGTGAAGTTAGAGAACTCCTGCTGTAAGATAAGTATCAAAGAAACATAGTAAGGCAAGCTGGTTAACATATGAAAGAGGAATGCCAGCGTTACTGTCCATCTTGAAATGTTCAGGTGAATTGTATGTATGACTTACTGTTGCTGACTCTGATTTCAAGTGACAAAACTGAATACTGGAAAGGAGTTCCTGGAGTGAAAAGATATGTAGTGTTGACTTGGCCTGATTCTTAGGGATGGTAATGCAGTTCTATTGCTTAGATGTAGTATTTTTTACCTATTCACAGAAGGAGCAATTTACATAATAATTACATGACTAGTTTCAAGAAAGAAATTGAAATCAGTATGGAATGTGTATTTTGTAACTACTACCACTGGAAATTTACATCACACATTTATTCAGCTGTATGTACAACAACAATAAAGGCAGAAAAAACAATAACCATACCCTCCTTCAGTCCTTCCACATAGTGTAGAGGAATGGTAATATTGATCCTATGATGTGAGAAAGAAAATGGCTAGAATAGTACATATGATACTCATCCCAGAGGATATGCAATCTGATAAGCCACATCTTCCCTTCTGTATATGGATGAGCTAAAGCTGGTTCAGCATCACTTTTTGATGGAGTGACCTGCCCATCAGACAAATGGTTGATATCAAAGAAGTGATAGTGAGTGCCTCTCAGTAGCAAAGCCCATCTAAATTCTTCATTATAACAATTTTATCTCACTTGGAGGCATAAAGAACAGATCTATTGCTTTCTTCCAGGTGAGGTGGAAGGTGCCAGAGGCCTCAAACTGTAGAATCAGGCAACTTGGGCCCAGTGTCTCCTGCTCTGTGCTCTTAGGCAGAGGGAACAGTTTGTCCCTTCTTCATTATTCTGCAGCACACCCCAGAATGGGGTTGCTTGTAATTCTGTGCCACATGATCCTGTGGCCTTACATAATTGATGCTTCTGTTATGGCTCCTCAGCTCATGCTGAGCAGCTTATAAGGCTGCATGAGATTTTCTGTCATGCCTTGCTTTGCCTTTGCACCCCTGGACTGCTGCCTTGTTGAACCATCTGCCTCACCTTGACTCCCTGCCTTCCTCTTGCTCCTGTGATTCTGGATACTTGTTTCTGCTGCTAGACTTGGCTCTTGCTAAGCTGATTATATTCTCTTTTCTGGCCTTTTAGTGACTTTACAGGGTCTGGTCAGCACTATTCAAAGAAAAAGAGTGTCCTACTGAACCAGGTGAAGGGATGAGAGGTCTGAATACAAGGGAGCAATGGACTGATTGGTATGCAGAACATAATATGGGTGCTGCCCATTTTCTGTGTAATTAGAAAGCTAGAGACAATGGAAATGTGAACCTCTGCAAGTACAGACTCCTGAAAAATGCTTCTGAGAGACAGTATTTCATGGTGCAGATGTATTGATTGTATTGTGTGAGTGGGTCCTGGGACAACAACAGATCAGTGTCTATCACCACGAGGGAAATACAGTATTGGTGTGACTTTCCTTGACATGGCATTCCTCACTAATCCACAAATTATTGGTATGCCCTTTCCTCTGGGTGCTAGAATAAACTGGCAAATGTTTCGACAGAGCTATGTGCCATCACTATGATTCCAAGGCAGGGAATGACCTCAACCACCTCTGTCTGTGTAAGCATTCTTAAGTTGTAAATGGAAAATGACTGGAAACG